GGAGGCAAAAAGAGAAGTCAAAGCGATGGCTGAGCATGTCTTTAAGCATGCTTGCTGAGCTTGGTTCGGAAGATCTTTTGGGTCCCTCCCTCCCACCCTGGGGGGAGTCTGCCGCTCGAGCCTAAACTAGGCCGAGCAAGCTTTTCTTACCTCCAACCTAAAACCTTGGCAGCCGGAGGCAAAAAGAGAAGTCAAAGCGATGGCTGAGCATGAATTGTTTGGATTGAAATCCTGCTCGAGTTGGTTGCTGTGTTTGCCGTGCAACAATGTTGATTTTTTTCGTGTTTGTTGGAACCCGAAAAGCAAAAACTGAATGTTGCTCCTTGTATTTTTTCGTGGTGTGTCGTTGCAATAACCTGACGAGCGAAAATGAGTGGTTTCCTTTTGTGCGGTGGTCGGCAGTAAAGTACTGGCAACGGCAGTTGACTTCTTTAGAGGCGAAATGAGCAGTTTCTCAAAAGTGGGGGTTTGTATTCAACCCCAACTCGAACTCAGCTGGAGGAAAAGGCAGATTTATTTATCAGTCATGTCCGTGAATCTTGATGCCCAAACAGATCGGACTTGTGTTGAAATTGTTCTGTTTTGTGACTTGCAACATTTTGTTTTTTTGAAAATTGCGGCGAACTTCATGGGAAGGTTTCAAATTGAGAAAGGAAGTTTTGTCCCACCTTCCCAACCCACCTTCCCAACCCATACACCGAAGGGAGCCGAGCCGAGGATTTCGGCAAAACCTGTTTCGAGATTCATTTATCAGTCATGTCCGTGACATCTTGATGCCCAGATTAAATTGATTTCTGGCGGTGAGTTTGAAAGTGTTCTGTTTTGTGACTTGCAACACTTTTTTCCTCGTTTGAATCTCCGGCAAACTCCAAAGAACTCTGTCTTACACGATGTTATTTTTGAAACGCTGGACAGCCTTCCATGAAAAGGCGGTTTCAAAAAAAAAAGAGCATTTAGGTGAGAGACATTTGTTCATGATGCCATGTCCGATGTTTTTACATGTTTCTCTTTAAAAATCCATGTCATATTTCACATGCTATGAGCTCGCCTGGGACACGGCACACATGCCGTGCTCTGTTGGTATGCTGTTGCTAAGATTTCTTCAAGAGGTTTGAGAAAAAAATTTAGGGAAGATATGTCAGGTGTGCACGGAAAAACCGAGCACACCGAAAAGGGAGCCGTGGCTCTTTTCTGTCGGGCCGAAGGGGCCCGACTACATGCATCGACACCAGTGTGCCGATGAGATCAAAACAATCGACTGATCCCTGAGCAACTTCACAATTTTCTTTTGCGTGAAATTATATTCTGCTGCCCAATTCGCATTTCGGGCAATACCTGTTTCGAGATTCATTTATCAGTCATGTCCGTGATATCTTGATGCCCAAATAGATTTGGGGCTATGCGTATGAAAGTGTTCTGTTCTGCGAGTTGCAACATTTTCCTCTGTTGAAACCCCGCTGAACTTCATAACAGAAGTACGTTTCGAGATCGAAATAGAACGCTGGAATTTCGGTTATTGCAGTTCAATTTGCGAGGAAGGGGCACCGAAACGTTGTTGCAAGAATGGAACGGCTGGCTTGACATGTTTTGCACGGCTGCAAGCTTCACGGTGGTAAAGTTCCCCCGAGATGCCTCGCCGCAAGTATTTCATCTGCTACCGCAAGGTGTGTTGAATGGTGGTAAGGCGCAGCTGAGTTTTCTTATGACGTGTTATCCCGTGGTTCGTTCAATTGCAACGATTGCGAGAGGGAAGTTACGATCAGTTCCACGCGTTGTGTAAGCTGTGTGACATGACTGGCACTTCGCATGGCGTCTCTTGACTTTCATGGGCATACTCCTCAGGGTGCACCGGCGTTTCTTTTGTTGTGAATGGGTTTCGATAACCGAGGCAATTCCAGCTGTTTCAGCTTCTTGCAGAGACCTTCGAAGATCACGACAGGGTGCACGATGCTCTGCAACTTGTTTGTGCTGGCCGAGTGCTGCGAATCACAGGTACTGGGACTTTCGAGGTTTGGGTGCACCAATGAGGACAACGAGATCCATGTCGATGTGTTTATGTTGTTTTGCTTGATCATGCATGGACCGTATGACGGCCGAAGGATGATGTGCACCTTTGCCAAAGTTCCTTGGGAGGACTGCTGGGGTTGTTTTGCTGTTGGCCGTGCGAAACCTCTAAAGGTCGCAAGCTGCTTGAAGCCGTTCCTTCACGTCATCGCCTGCTCCGCAGCTTCAGGATGTCAAATACTCGGTCAAACAAAAAGCCAAGGGCAGCTGGATTGCCCCGGAGCGAAGTTCTCAGCCTCTTCTTTTCAAGCTTTACTTTTCTGTCCGAGATGGGTTGCTACCCAGTATGTCGTTCGACCAGATGAAGGTCGGCAGGTAGTTCGGGGAACATGCACGTTTCGCAGTCGTGCCATGTGGATTAAGGCCCTGCCCCATGTTGTTGAACTTCAGGTGGGAGCTAGACCAGAGACCGCAGCTGCGACAGCAAAATCCGCTGGTGAGCATCTGAGACATAAAGGCTTTTCTTGTAAGGCCGATAGAAAAAGTTGGTTTGCTCGCTCTGAAATTGTATTGATTCTGTGCAGAACTCTGATCAAGAACTATCATTCGAGAAATAGATCTTGGCTCAGGTCCAGCTTCCTTATGTCATCAACCATTCAACTGGTGAGGTTCCGTGGGATGTGCTTCGTTGTGCAGTTGTGTGACTATATCATGCGTGTCCGGAAGAGGGAAAGCGGGCAAAGTGTGAATGTTGGTCAGATGACGGTCTGCAGAGCTTTCGGGTTTGTTTTGAAGCGGATCACACACGATGAATCCGCACTGAAGTCTTTCGAACTGCAGTGCTGGGTCAGCGATGATAGCTTTGTCAGGTGATTGCCCAATCAAGTGCTGTTTACCTTTATCTGGGCCGGATTCTGGGGCTTGGCGGTGCCACTCACCAGGACTGCCCTCGGGTATGAGCCTGACATGCAGCTCTGTAACCGCCCCGTTGTCAGGAACAGATGGCCAACGAGCAGGCTGACCCATGGTACATCTGTCAGATTCTGTCAGCATATGCCAAGCAACATCTTTGGGTCTTCTCCCAACACCATGTCCGGTGAGAGGTGCTGTTCTACTTGTACGGGATGTGGATGGAGATTCGAGATCTGGCCCCCGTGGCATGTGTCAACAGCAAGAGATCGCATGGGATGCGTAGCATTGCAGCATTGCTGCCGACATATCATGGCCATCACGGCTCAGTGTGCCCCTAAGATCCGGGTATCGTGGCCCTTTGTTTTGGGGTTTAAGGTTTGCAGGTGCCCACTCCTTTCGCCAGTTCTCTCCCCGTCCAGCACAAGCTACAAAAAGAGGGTTTGGACAGGGCAAGAGGGCTACGCCGCATCTATGTCTGCATCGTCTTGTGAGTCAGCAGAAGAGCAAAGGACGTTTTGAAGCGATCGGCTCAGGTAGGCCTAACCCTGAAACCCTAAACCCTAAACCCTAAATGAACCTTAAACCTTACACCCCAGACCCTAAACCCTAAACTCTGAACCCCCAACCCTGAAACCCCACAACCCTGAACCCTGAAACCTAAACCCTGAAATTCTCAGACCCAAAAGCCCTAAACCCTAAACCCCCAACCCTAGAACAAACCCCAAAACCCAAAACCCAAAGCGCAAAACCTTAGACCCTAAACCCTAAACCCTAAACCTTAAACCCTAAACCCCAAGGCCCAAAGCCCTGAACCCTAAGCCCTGAAACACTAAACCTGAAACCCCACCCGTGCGTTTACTGAAAGATAAAGAATGCGCACTGGACCCTGTTTGTTCATGAATGCACACTGGACACTGGAATGATTGCGCACTGCCCTGGAGGAGTAAGGAATAGCTTTGGGATCTGTGGCAGCAAGGCACAGTCTCAAGAACCACTCGAACCTATGAATGCTTTGGTGGGGTGTCGGAGTCCCATACTTCGACCGGACTATTGGTGCTCACACAAGTGAGTATGAAGCCTAATGTTTTCTCGATTTCGGCATGCCTGATTGCACACTTTGTGGTTTGGGGGTTTGCCACTCCTCTCAGATTCTGTGTTTTCTTGCAGCTCCACGCTCTTCATGAGGTTTCGTGTCTGCTACTTCCGCTGTGGCTGGGTTGGTTTAGCACCCTTTATCTGTTGACGAGGAGTTCGGGTTTTGTCACTTCACTGCCTTGTCTCCAAAAGAAAAGAAGTCGCAACGAGCTTTGCCTGAGTCGCTCAAGCAACACAAGCCATGTGACCTGCATGATCGAGGTTTCATGTTGCAATGCCCAAAGCAAGCATCATAGCAATTAAACGTGTGCATGCGTTCTGTTGGAGTTCTTCTCGCATACTCATTCAATTTGTGCACCGTACCAACGTCGCCAGGTCTATCCCTCCTACACCAGCAGGATGCCTGAAACTTTCTTGGAGACTTCACCACAGCTGAAGACTTAGAGCCTTTGTGAAATTGTGGGTTTTGTCCAGGACGGAAGAGAGTTTTCGATCTTCGCTGGACAATCATTTCTCAGGCACTGATGTAGCTGAGCCTTCACAGTCAGGGGATCTTCGCACTCTGCTGGCTGTTCTCCGGGACTGGGGTAACGCGGGTTCTAGCAGCTTTCTTTGGCTCTTTGTTGCTCTTTCTGCAGCTGCTGCGTCACAGGGAGAAGGTAATTCAGATAGATTTTCAGAGCACAGCACTGAGCCGGTTCACCTGAGCAGAAACACTTCCATCAAGAAGTCTTAGAGATGGGCGGGGCCGGAGTGTGGCTGCCAATGCCCGGAAGCCTGCAGCGCTGCAGGCAGCTGAAGGGCAAACAGCTGCAGGTGATAATCGATTTTGACCACACAATTACAGGCTTTCGGAATGCAGATGGTTCCAAAATGGTTCAGTGCCACGATGCCATAGAACATTCCTTGAGGATGCCAGACCAACTGCGTGCAGATTACCGGAAGCTTTGGCAAGACCAAGAGGAAGGCCTTTTAGCGGGCAGTTGGACATGGCAGGAATGGTGGAGTCGTAGCCACAGTCTTTTTGTCAAGCACGGTCTTAAGGCATCCTTGCTCTCGTCGATTGTAGCAGAAAGTGGTATACGTGTTCGAGATAATTTCGTAGAATTCCTGCAGCTGCTGCTGGAACATCATGTGCCAGTGCTTGTTGTCTCAGCTGGCATCAGTCAGATCATCGCCGAAGTTTTGCGGCAGACAGGAGTAAATCCTGAGATGGTGCACATCTGTGCGAATGACATGGTATTCAACGACGAAGGAACTTTGACACACTTCGCCACCCCTGAGATCATGCCGGACACGAAGTGTGAAATCGGGAGGCTGCAGGATGCCTACTTTGCTGAGATCGGACGGCAGCACGTGGTGGTCATAGGTGACAGTATTACAGACTGTGATGTGATCAAGAAGGTGGGTGGAGTGGAATTGATGCTATTTGTGGGTTTGTACAATGTGGAGAGGGCCAACTGGAAAGCCTTCCAAGCTGCCTTTGACATCCTTCTTAGTAATGAGGCCTTGGCACCAGAGGAAGACCTGGACTTCCGGCCACTGATTGAGTTGCTGGAAGTCATTCTGGGCTCCAGGCTCTCCGCCTCCGATCCGTTCCTGCAGCAAGTTTTGTCCGCTCCTAGTGACGAAATGCAGATTGAATGAGCGCTGGAGTTTCTTAATGTTTGCGACTGTGAGCTTCGACTTATCCTACCGTTAACTCAAAAGGCCGAACTCGATGCGACGATCTGAAGACAAACAGTTTCGCTTTCGGAACTTCCTGTTGCCCTGAAAGTAATGGCCAAGCGACGGCCGCTGAGTCGACCGGATGCCTAGCAGAATGCTGCCTGCCCTGGCATCTCAATGCTGCCACCCTGGGGGACCAAGGGATTTCTGCGTGATGTGGAACAAGTCCGGAACTAGCTCCTTCGATCGCTGTTTGCATGGGCTGTGAGCGAAGGTGGTTTAGCCAGCATATCGGCGTGGGAAACAGTGTGAAACGCAAGACGCTGTGCAGGTGTGTCCGCCCACTACGAAAAGCTGGAAGCGTGGCTGAGGCCGCTCTGCTGACTTCAATCAGGCTGAGCACGAGCTTGAAGTAGTCAGTCAGATGGCGCAGAAGCTGCGAGTGCCCCACTTTCGTGCGATGTGCTTGCGTCTGCGACATTGAAGCTACCCTCCATATGTTGATTTCCTTGCAGCATCGCAGCACTGCAAACCCATGCAGCTTCACGTCTAGGATCTCCATGCAGTCGCAGCAACAGGGGACCTTCGTCTCCCCTTTTTGTGTGAGTAACGAGTAACGGTTCATTGCAACTGGCGCAAGTGGCATATTCTTTTACATGGTAAGGACGGAGCGCTTCTTGGATGTCAGCATTCTCAAGTCGCATTCTCTAGTCACGAGTCACTCGGTTTTCCCTGTTGATCCCATTTGCACATATGTAGTGGTCCTCCAATTGTAAATGGGTAGTGTATCCTTGTTGTTTTTTGCATCACTCTGAGTCACTACACTTATCCTCACTCGAGAAAGTCCCATGATCGTGTTTGTACCAGTTGCGCCAGATGTCTCATCTTTGCCATCAGGCGAAAGGATACTCCTTTCTTTGCCAGCTCAAGGCCGTGCACAGCCGATTTTCATGCCGATGCCACAGGTGATGACTTGCCACTTGATGTGTAACGGGTGGAACACAAAATTTCAGTCTGTGTCTTGTGGTTCAACATACTGCTGGAGATGCTAGTTCAGGTCTGGGAGATGTTGGACCAGCAGGAGTGCATGGCTCGCCATGGGCCTAGGCATCTCTTGAAATTGACATATACTCTGGCGCAAATGCCCGGAAGAGAGTCACACCGACCAAGACAGTCTCGAAGAAGAGGCGAGGTGTTTTCGGGTGTCCCTTGCTTGGGGAGAACCCGAGACAGCTGTGCCCTGCTTACTCTTCACAATTGTTTATATGACCACGGGCTGGTCGGGCATGCATATTCCGGGGACAGCCAGAGAGACGGAGAGGGGGACGCTTAGTTGGGTCTTCATACGATTCATACGCCTTGCAAGCATGGGACGAAGAGTGGCAACTCACACGATGTGCTGAGGTGCCTATGGCTTCGCATCTCCACTTGGGGATAGTGCTTGCTTGAAGGCAGGGTTGTCGACAATTACAGGGTTCTCGACAATCAATGGTTGTCCATGGTGCACTCGTGTCTACTGGCAAGCGTACGGTCATGGATCCACTTCAGCGCTCGGTTCATCCACGACGTGCAAAACATTGCAACCTGTAGGCTTTTTATCAGCGGTTTCGAGAACTTCCCGAGTTGGAACCGTACTTCGCCAGCGGAGTCTTGGCCATGTTCAAATTGATGGGAGCTTCAGCAGAACATGTGCCATGCGTCCGGGAACATGCGCTATGCGTTCCGGATGAGTATAGACTTCTTGATTCACGCCTGAGGAGACTATTCTTTGCCAATGAACAACAAGATGGCCTTTTACAAATGACTGGCTTATCGATAGGTCCTGTGTGGATCTTGCACCTGCATTCATTCACCATCAATTATCAAGTCCGCAAAGCGCGATCAAAGCCAACTTGCGCTTTGTTGGTCCAGACCTGCAGGGACGCTCACACGCGGTGTACCCTGAACGGATTCCGTTACCGTGGAAAAGTCACCAATGACTGCCCCTGCAGCCTGCGGGAATCACACAACGAGGCACGGACAATATACTGCAGACTAGGATCCGCTAGAGCAGATGTCCTGCTTGCCGTCTAGCTCCGGACAGCAATACTGCACTTTTGTTTGTCTGCGCATGTTTCCAGAAAACTGACCAAGCTCTTCGCCAGTCTCCACGAGACGCTGAAAGAAGTTCGCGACATCGAAAAATGAAAAATCATTCAAAGCGGTAGCCAGATTGAAATGTGCTTCTCAAAGCGTGTCCTCAACTCGACCGCCAGCTTCAATGGCAGGAAGCAATGACGGTTCCACCGAGTCCTCTGATCAAACAGCTTGGACGCCGTTGAAGGGTGATGCCTCCACCGGTACTTCCCCATGGCGCAGCCCCGATCTTTGGGTGTGTTTTTGTGTGTAAGTCTCTGTATGAGCTTCATGCCATGTGCAGCCTCACTTTGTTGAAGCCTTCAAAGCGATGTTTTGTCCCACTCGTGCAACACTGCAAGCTCAACTTCTGAGCATGCAGGTGCAATATAGTGCAACTGCATGTTGCGGGACTGCCGATGTGTAAGCGGAGGATCGCCTTGTCCTGGCTCGCACAGCTGTTAGATCCTTTGCGTGGCGCTTCTTCGGCGCCCGTGCCGACCACCTGGACGTAGTACTCAACGTCTCCATCCTCATGGCGCCCGTGGTTCTCGCATGTTTGCACTCAGGTTGGTGAATATGCCCGACGGCGACGGGGCGGAAGCTCAGGAGGTCGGGCTGTGTCTATTCGGGACAAGCCTCGAGTATGTGCCTCTGACAGGCCCAGGAGGCCCAGGAGGCCCAGGAGGCCCCTGAGGCCCAGGAGCCTGAGAATGGAAAGAAGAAGAAAAAGGAGAAGAAGGCAAGCATAGGCAAGCTAAGCCCGCGTTTTCCAGTGAGAGGGCAGACTGGGAACAGGAGAAGAAGGCCGAAGTCGTCAAAGACGAGAAGATGGGCCAAGTGAAAGACGAGGCCGAGAAAGCTCCTAGAGCGGCCCCGGCCATCCAGCACTTTCTCTGCTCTGCTAGGATCTCGACTGGATTTGGATCGGTGGCGCAGAGGTTGGCCGCGCTGTAAAGTCACGAAGACGCGGCTTTGCTTAGAGCTGGTCTCGAGGACGCGCGAGACCGGGAAGCCCTCGAGCGTGCCAATATCCGGTCTGCATCTCGGAGCGCTTGGACCTTTGAGCTGATTAGCTGGGCTTGAACCCACAAATCCACAGGGTCAAGCGTAGACGAGCTACAGCTTGCAGCCATGCAGTTCAGCAAAACGTAGTCAACGATATCTGCATAGGCATTCAGCTGATATGCCGTTTCCCTTTGTGTCCTTGCATGCCTCTGCCATGACATGGACGCGCTGCTGCTGCAAGAGGCTGCTAGGGCTGAGGCCGTGGCACGACTTCAGGAGGCCGGATGCCACGATTCACAAGCGCGGGTCGACGCTATAGCGGCTTAGCGGATCCTCGCACAGCCTGGAGCTTGTGAGCTTGGTCGTGCTCTCGAGGAGGCGCGTTCCCCGATCGAGGCGTGGAGGGCCCGCGATGCAGCGCTTGCATCGGAGAGGGCCGCGAAGGACCAGAGAGTTTCAGTGTATTACTTCACGGGCATGGTTCTCGTAACACAGACTTGGGCTGTTAGCGAGCTGTGCATGTAACTTGCAGGAAGCGGCCCTCACAAAACTTTGTGAGCAGAGGCAACAGCTGGTGGAGCGCATCAATTTCTGCAAGCAGCAGGAGCACGGTCCAGTGGTGAACTTCTGTGACAGCATTTATCGCCGAAGATTGCTCAGGATTCGCGATGGTGGCCTGAGGCCGCACGTCTCCAAGCGTCTTTAAAGCATTTCAATGTTCTGTCAGCATTTGCTGCTGTGTCTCGTCAGGCGTCCTCTGTGACTACTGCGTGCGGACCAAGGCCCAACTGGCTGGTGTGCAGCAGGCCGTTCAGGCCATTGAGCAAGAGAAGGCCAGTCGCTTCCGGTTCTGGTATCCCTTTCACATCCCGTTCCGCCTGCGAGAGAAACCGGCGGGTCCCGACCAGGCAAGATTTCAGCAGGTGCAGGAGCAGAAGGCGGATCCCTGCAGCCGTTTCACCAACGCGCTGAAGGACCACTTGAGGCAGTGCGAAAACCGCCCCTCGGCTTGAAGATGCTGTCATGGATGCTCGGCTTTCCAGTCCCTTCGCCCTGTGAAGCTGTTGAGTGTAGCAAGTTTGGATTTAACATCCTCCACTACACTCATGCATTTGCCGGACCATTGTGTCAATGTGCTGCAGGCACTTGTCCCATGGCCCATCTGCACCAGCAGCCGGTACTTATCCGAGAGTGGCGCGAGCTTGTGCTGTGACTGGGTTCGAACTTACGGAGGAAGAAGCGGCGAAACGCGCTGCGGAGCGGTTTGTTCTGTTTGTCTTGTCTTGTTTGTCTTGTTTGTTTTGATCCTAAAGAGGCGGCTCTCCAGGCTTTTGAGTTTGAGCCTCTGTCGGGCAAGGTCGAGGATCCTCCGCAAGTCGACCCAGGTGCATTGGTCCATGGTGTGCAGAGACGGTGGTGGCTGTGAGGGGGATCGCCCGCAAGAGCATTTTTTGTGTACACTTGTCGTGCTGGAGGAATGCATGCGTGACCTGCTTCCGGATTTCCTTTTAAAGTGCAGTTCAAGCCCTCTGCTGGCTCCTGATAAGTCATAGGACACAGTCCTTGAGACGATCGATTTGCGTGCTTGTTCTCCCGTACATGTGCCTGCGGAGCAATGGTGGCCGAAGTTGAAGATGACCGGGCACGACAGTTGCCAGATATAGAAGAGGTTCTTGGCGGTGATGTGCCTGTGTCCGGGTGGTCGGGCAGCGAGCCCGAAATCCGAGAGGCGCTATTGAAATGGTACGACTGCGAACGCCGTCGACTGCCTTGGAGAGGGGACCCGCCTCCTTGGAGTGAAAACAAGGCCAAGCTGAGATCTGAAGCTGCCAGGAGGGAGTTCTCCAAGGGCTGCCCGCCTTTGTCGAACTTTTTCAGGTTGAAAGCCGCTCCAAGGGCAGGCGGGGCAGGCCAGGTCCAAGTCATTGATCTAGACGAGTCTGCGGAGGCTGCAGGGGCTTTCCCGCGGAGCGCCTATGGGGTGTGGGTGTCGGAAGTCATGCTGCAGCAGACACAAGTGGAAGTCGTTATCGGCTACTGGACTCGCTGGATGGATCGGTTTCCAAGCATAGACGCATTGGCTGCAGCCAAGGCTGAGGAAGTGAATGCTGCCTGGGCAGGATTAGGCTTTTACGGACGGGCCAGGCGATTGCATGAGGGTGCGAGGTATGTCATGGAGCATCATGGAGGCCGATGCTGTGCTTGCAGTTGATGTTCACTTCGTTTATCTTCGTTTTAATGCGCCCCCCCTCCCCCTTGATTGATTTCAGGTCCAGGCAGGGGGGGAATGATTATTGAGGGTTGGGGGGGTCGGCGTAGTACAGTAGTACAGCACTACAGTGCTACAGTAGTACAAATGTACAGTGGTACAGTAGTACAGTAGTACAGCAGTAGTCAGATAGTATAGTAGTACAATACTACAGTAGTACAGTAGGACAGTAGTACAGCGTTAGGACAGTAGTACAGTTACAGCAGTACAGCAGCACAGTAGTACAGCAGTACAGCAGTACAGTAGTATAGCAGTACAATACAGTAGTAAAGCAGTACAGCACAGTACTACAGTACTACAGTAGTATTGTAGTACAGTACAAAAGCGGTACAGTGGTACAGTAGTACAGCAGTACAGTAGTGCTGTAGCACTGTAATACCAGCCTTAGTGTACAAGAGTACAGTAGGAGTACAGCAGTACAGCGGTACAGTAGTGCAATTGTACAGTAGTTCAGTAGTACAGTAGTACAGCAGTACAGCTATACAGTAACACAGTAGTATAGCAGTACAGTAGTACTTTACCACAACAGGGCCCTCCCGGGGCGGGTACATAATTGAGGGGGATTGTAATGATTGAGGAGAACGGCGGCTTGTTAGCACTCCATCAGGATGGATTGATTTTTTCGCCTGGGAATAAGGAATCGGAAGGCATGGAATCTGAGGCACTCCAAATCTGCGATTTTGGACTCCCGCAGCTTCTAAAGCAAGGCTTTCCCAATCAACGGCTTGGCTTGTATAGCTTGGTTTCTTTGCTTTTTTGCAGCGGGCACCACCACAAGGCCTTCCCCGGAGCGGGTTCATAATTGAATGGGGGCGAACGCCGGCTTGTTAGTACTCTAGAGTGTACCTCGGTTCTGAACAGTCCCACTTTCCTGGTTCACGCCTGTGGACGAGCCCCCCACTTCAACCGATGCACACAGCAGGATGCACAGGGAACATGGTGTTGCATGCACGGAAGCAAGCTTCGTCTGCAAATCGAGGGAGCCATGGGACTTCGCAGGACGTAGGAGTCAAACTTGAGTCCTTCACAACGGGTGTCTGCGCCCCTCACGGTATCCTCATGGTCATGGTTTCATGCCCCTCAACGGCAACTCCGAATTCCAACTTGATAAGACTTAGTGGACAATGATGTTGACTTCATGTTATAAACCCCCTCAAACTCGACCCCGAGAACTCAATTGTAAACCCCCCTAAATTCGAAAACCCAGCCCAAAGCTCAATAATAATCTGGCTCCCGGATCTTATTCTTGTGGTCTTTTGGTTATCGTGCAGAGCTTGGCTTGAACCAGAGACAGGACGGAGCAGAGAGAAACTGCAATTACAACGACCGCTGCAGCACTGCAGAGAATTAGCACTGCAAAGCTTCCATTCAATCAGAGGCATGGCGGAGCAGAGTGAAATTGCAGATTTAGAGTGCCTCAGATTCCATGCCTTCCTTGATAAAGATTCCTTATACCTTGACTTGAGCAAAAATCATCCATCCTGATGGAAACGTAATGCCAGGTTGCATTCAAAAACATCTGTTTCCGCCAGCCGTGCATAGAAAGCCCCGCGTACGACCGGCGTGGCACGAATATCAGCAGAACGTCGTCCAACAGCCAATCCGATTCGCAGGAGAGTTGCCGCAGAACATCGAAGATCTTCTTCGCATCCCTGGTGTTGGTCCGTACACAGCGGGAGCCATCGCATCGATTGCCTTCAACAAGCGAGCTGCAGTGGTGGACGGGAATGTTGTGCGCGTCTTTAGCCGCCTTGCAGCGCTGACAGGGCATGGGAAGTCTCCCGCCTTGCACAGGCAGTGTTGGAAACTCGCCGAGGCTCTGCTTGATCCTGAAAGGCCTTCTGCTTTCAATCAAGCACTAATGGAACTGGGTGCAACTGTCTGTACACCTCTCGCCCCAGCATGTAGTCGATGTCCTGTACGTACGGCTTGCAAAGCGCAGAAGCTGGCAGCCGCAGGCACAGTGACTTCTGTGACTGGCTTTCCGGCCAAGCAAGCAAGCCAAAAGCCTCGGCGTCACCGTGTTCTGGCTCTTGCGGCTGTCGTGAATGCAAAGGGCGCCTGGATGTTGGTGCGCCGACCGCCAAACGGTTTGCTTGCAGGGCAACTCGAGTTTCCGGCAATAGAGCTCGATCAAACGCAGGAGACAGTAGTGCCGACCCAGGCAATATCATGCCTGAGAGAATTACTGGCCGACTTCGGTCTTTGCTGTGATTTGCCGCTTACAACTCTCGGTGCTCCCATTGAGCATGTTTCCAGGCTCTCAAGGGTAATGCTGTGGGGATGTTTTCTGGGTTGTAGTCTGGCACAGCCTGTGCGCAGTGTCTGTGTACACACACACACACACTTCGTCTTGACAGTCAGATTTTACACAACCTGTGCTGCGGTATATGATGTGGACAAGACATGCAGACCGAGCCAAGGTTTTCTCCCACGAGCACCACTTCATGCATGTCTTCAGAGGCACTGTACCTGCGGGCTTTCCGGCAGCAGAGCCCAAGAGGGACGTGCACTGGCTCACGCCGAGTGAGGCTGAAGAAGCTGGGATCACAAGTGGATTGCAAAAGGCGGGGCATGTCAAAACTAGTTGAGCATGTCCGAACAACGGTTGGGAAGTTGAGGAAAGAGACAGCGACATAGGGTCCTGGGGCGGAGAGGAACACAACTAGGTTCTTTGTTTGTGCCACCATCCGTCGCCGACAGCCTGTTTCCCGCAGCAGGTGCTGCACGGACTGGTGCCGGAAGTCCCGGCAAAGAGAGCGGCGAAACGGCACAAACGATAGCAATGTGTTTTGGAGACACCGGAAATCTTGCAGTCTGGCGAGCTACCTCTGAAGAGATCTTCCACAGCTGGCCTCCAGGCGAACCACCAGCTGCGACATCAAGGTCGCTCGAAGCTGATGGATGCAAGGACGAGCAGCTCAGAACCTGCACGCTGGTCTCCTCAGAGCTCAGAGGCAGAGCTATCGGCAGATTTGCACCTCTAACGCGAGAAGAGCTGCAAAAAAGGCGTACATCTCTCTGGTCGGTGGGACGTTCTGACTGTGAATTAGCGCATCATAGTCGCATGCCGCAACTCTGCTCTGCAGGTGCAAGAGGTGCTGGCGCAAAGGTCACACATATTTGAGATCTACGAAGACTCGGAGGGGCGCGTTGCCGTTCGCTTTGCTGGGGAGAAAGGCCAGTTTCAAGGTTGTCAAAGCTTCAGGCCGCAGCCTTGCAATGTTGTCATTTGCAGGCGATGCCGGCAACCAGAAGCTGGAGCTTTTCCAAGGCTCCGACATGGAATTTTGGCTCTCTCCGCCGTGTCGGCTTCTGCCAGGCCCGGTGCCCCAAGCGCTGACGCTGACACCGCAGCCGCTGCCACCTGGGCGGGTCTTCGCTCAGTGCCATGGCCGATGTTGTCCCCTTCGGGTCTCCGCTGTGTTGCTGCTCGCATACAGGCACAAACAGGTCTTGGAAGGCGAGTGTCTCTGGGAAACGAGAACGCCATTCCCGGCCTCCGGGGCCCGTATCGGGCAGCATCAAGCAGCGCTCGTGATGCTTGAAGGTCTGTGAGTGCTGGGATCGGCTGTGTAAAGGAGTTCTCCAAACTTCGGAAACCTCTCTCGTCCTTGCCGGTCAGCACGCATGTGGTAGCATGCGTGCACGCGCCGTCGTGTTAGGGACGGTGAGGTTGCCCGCTAGCAGCACCTCTCGCGCTGCTTGCACCTTTGTTTCTCTCGCATTGATATGAAACATTACGGCATTTGATTGAGCAGACGGGGCAGGCGTGGAAGGAGGACCGGCCTGGAAGAAGGAGAGAGAGAGCGAGACGACTCCCCATGCCCTGGAGAAGAGAGAGAGAGAGAGAGAGCACCGAGGGGCAACCCTCTAGTCCCCAGCCCTGGCGAAAGAAAGAGAGCACCGAACCCCACCAGCAGGTGTAAACTTAATCATGATCAGTTGCTAGAGTTGCTAGAGTGTAATTCCGGAGTTTCCACGGATCTGCGCCGAGCATCAAGGTGTGCCTTGCCGGCGGAAGAGCTTCCGCCCTTGCGCCCGGAGCAGGTGGTGTATACGATCATGCAGCGGTGCCTAATGTACAAGTGCGGAGGCTGCAGCAGAAAATGGGTGTCAATAAGGTGGCCGAGATTGAGGAGGAGCTGCTGAAAGCCGGCGGCAGCGAGCGCTTTCGTCGCCTCAGCCTCCATCTTGGGGTCCAGGAGCGGCAGGTGCCGCGAAAGAAGACGAGGGCAGCACAGAGAGAGAGAGTTGTTGTGTTCCCCCTATCGTGTTTGTGTACCCTGCCTTCCTTTGCTTCACCCCAAGGGACCCGTGCCGCAAACGAGCAAACTAACTACAAACCGAGCCTTTCAACAAGATAGGGGACCCCCAGTCAAAGTGCTTCTTTAGGACTGTGTGCTTGAGTACTCCGTGGCATGCTGCAAAGGGGATCCCCGCCAAGCCGCCCATGCATCAGCCTCGGCAAAAAGCCGAGGAAAGCGAGGGGCACAGCACAGAGGGGAACTCAGCACACGCGGCATGAACTAGGCGGGGACATAGCATGGCAGCTTGTGTGTTGGAGCCTTAGGGGACTTGTAGTGCCGCTGTGCTTTCTCCGCTGTTTCACGCCGACCGTAACGACACAGGACAGCGGCGTAGCGCTAGCGCGCAAGGGGTACTGGGGTTTCCCCATACCCTCAGACGCCTTGCAAGCAAGCAAGCAAGCAAGAGAGAGAGAGGATCGGGGGAATATGCCCCTTTAAAACATCGAGGCGGGCTCGAGATTCACGCATCAGCACGTCTTACTACCCTTCTTTATCATTGTACCGGTGCCTTGTGCTGAAAAATCGTGAATCATGGAGGTGCACGTGTCCTTGAGAACAATCAACCACCCTATGTTGTTTCCATGTCTACGAACCTAGCCTTAGCGCTTGGGTTATTAATGTTCGCTCCTCACTCCCCGTACGGCCCGATCAAAATGATCGGGTGGGCAATTTGCCCGGGGACGGTGACACGTCCCCATGCCCGGGAGAGAGAGAAAGAGAGAGAGATCCTCTATAGGCAAAATTCTGCCTTCGTGTTGTGCGAGTTCTCACCTTTGGCCTCCGCAACGGACGGGGGCGCCTACCGGCTCGCGGGCAAGAGTTCCCCTTCGCCCATAACCCTGCCGAAAGAAAGAGAGAGAGGATCGGGGGAAGACGCCTACCCTCGCACTATTGGTTGTTTGTTCTGCTTCCAAGCGGGGAATAGGCAAGTCTTCATCCTGTTGCATGTGTCTTGGTCAGCATACGATCATCATCATCACGTCATCTTATACTTTGTGGCATTAGCCTCACGATGATCTATGCTCTTTCGTCACGCCCCTTTGCCCGATAAAACATCGGGTGGGCTTGATGCCCGGGGGCTTTGACCGGCCCCCATGCTCGGGAGGGAGAGAGAGAGAGGGTTCGAGCCCCGAGCCCTGAGTGCAGAAGGGAGGGGAGCAACCCGGACGCGCGGGAGAGAGGAGAGACTGTGTCGCCTCTTGCCATCGAGCTCAGCTACCCGATCGTAGTTCTTTGCGTGTACCTGCTCAACGCTCTTGTCAGGGAACTCGGCAGGTTCGCACCCCAAGGTGATCGGCGCTTGGAGGCGAGCGGGGGACACTGACACACCGTGAATAATAACCACCTGGACCAATGGAGGACCCCCCTGAGGGGAGAGAGCCACCACCCGCTAAGGTGGGGGCAAAAGCAAAGACGAGCAAGCAAAAGCCCCTCTTCATAGGAGGGATTAGATGCTGCCCGAGGTGCATGACGGGTGGGCCCAGAGGAGAGGGGGGCAAACACTACAGCAACGACAGGGCAGCGGAGGACTGCGTGCTACATGGCAGCGAGGCACAAGGAGGGGCGGCACGCAAAATCCTCAAGGACGCCGCCGAGAACTACGAGTGGGAGAAGGGGACCAAGGGCATCCTCGAGCCCCACCGAGTGGACAAGAGACGGCGGGGCACCCGGACAAGACCTACCAGACCAGCTGTACCAGCAAGCAAGCCCAAGCAGACCTCGGAGGAAACCCTGTCACGACCCAGCCGGAGGACCACACAGGGGAAAGCAGTAAAGGCGCGGCCTGCTACCAGGACTACCTCCAAAAGCAAAGCAGCCCCGCCACCCAGAACAGAAAGGCGGAACACCAAGAGGAAGAGACCAACAACACCGGCGTCGTCATCCTCAAGCACAAGTTCGTCGAGCACCACCCAAGAAGGCACAGGACAACCAGGACAACCAGCCGAAGACCGAGGCAACCAAGACAGCGATGACTTGCTAAGCAGCGAGGAAGTGATCCAGGACCTGGCCTTGCTCGACATCCTCAACTACCAGCACCGGGGCGACAAGACGAAGAAGCACCACAAGAGCAAGAAGAAGCGACAAGAAAAGTCGGACGACACAAAGGCCGAGACACCGGAGCACCCACCCCGACAAGGAGGAGCAGCCAGAGGAGTGGACCCTCGAAGCGTGGGAGCAGCGCCTGCAATAGGACCCTTCACGGCCAGTACCAGCTCGTCGGCGAGGGGAAGCGCAACCATGGGGGAACAAGCCCTCTACCACCAGGCGAGGGCAAAAAGACGAGAAGTGGAGGACTACGAGCAGACCCAACACCTGGGAAAGGGCGAGGCATATCGCCCAATGCCGCAGCTGCGACACTGGGTACCCGGGACCACGAGACCAGCGGAACCAAGCGAACCACGACGGCGAGGAGCAGGGCAAAAAGGAGGTAAGCCGCCACACGAGGGACTCGCTCAGAAGGTCATGAAGTTGGCGGCCCAAATGGACAAACCTCAGTGAGAGCACCAGCCCTAGGAGTACAAAGTTTTGACTTGCACATACAGGAAGCTCCATTCCCTTGCGAACGTAGCCAGGAGCACAGCTCCTTTCCGTGTACCACTCGATCCGCTTTCTTACCATGAGGCACCCGCTTGAAAAAAGCAGGCGTCGAGAATTCGCTTTTGGGGGCACTCGCTGTTGCATCCTTGAACCACACATGAGGGGTGCCCAACCCAACACAAGAGTGGAGGGCCGTTAATTCGGGCACGTTTTCCCCCAAAGGCTTTGAACTTGTATTTCTAGTCCTTTTGCAGGGGCACTCGGTGATATAGGGACGTCATGGCATGTTGTTTGATGCTTCATGTGTGCACCTGCCTCCACGGGGGCGTTAGTACCAAACGAACGCTCAACCCGCAAACTCCTTTGCACAGCCGAGCCCCTCCAACAAAATGATGGAGGGGGTGCGCCACGTGCGCGGGGTGTGGGGCCTGCCCACACCTCA